TTGAAATACTGGTGGCATAGCTTCCAGCATCACAGCAACACACAAGCCACCACAGTGCAACAAACGGACAGACAGGTGGTGAGGTGGAGCAGGGAGCCCCCAAAGGTGCCTGCTCTCCAGCTCAGCACTCGTGGGTCAGTATGAGGAAATTGATGCCAGTGTTAAGTTGGTCAGCTAGCCTAGCTCCGTCTCCCCTCCCTTCCCATCCCCGCCCCCCCAGGCCCAATGGATGGTCTCCTTTTAGGTGATAGCGTTTCCTCTAGGGTGGGCAGGCCCTAGCGTGAGCAGCCCCTAGGGTGGGCAAGGGGAGGAAAAAGGGGGTTGTCCTTGGGAAATGTGCCAGGCAGGGCTGTGGGACCCCTGGTTCATTCCTCTGGCACTGCCCTCTGTGCCAGGTGTCTGGTGACATCATTGGTGGCCAGGGGGTGGACCCTTGAAACCCCCAGGCGGTGGGTTCCTGGAAGCATCCTTGGGCCTGTGAGTTCCTGCTCTGGGCTTCCCAGACCTGTGAGAGGCTGGTGTTCCTCCACCTCCAGAGTCCCTGGGCTCGGAGAGGGGCTGAAGACTGGTACCCAGGTGATGGAGAGAGCTCACCAGCTGAGGGGCCTTCAAGAAAGTCACCTGGGGAGAGGGGTCAGTAGCCAGATGCAGGGTGAGGGCGAGCCTCCACAGAGCCAGCCGGGCCTGGCAGGGCAGCTGACTTCACATGGGACCTTGGACAAAGCCCTTGTCTCCGTCTCCGTGAGTCTCAGGTCCTGGCCTCAAAGCTGGAGAATCCTCCAAGCATGCTCTCCTGCCTCGGGCTTACTGAGGGGAAGAGGACTGTCATCCGTGCAGCCCAGCGAGCTTCTTGGGAGGAATTCCAGGAGTTAGTGAAAATTTTATTATCAAATGAATCTGAATACACTAAAATGATAATAGCACCATTAGGCAGAAGCATTCTAATCAATGGTAGAAGTTTAATCTCTGAACCCTCCAGCTGAAATGGAAGAAAGGGCTCCCTTCCTCTCTGTTAATCGCAAAATAAACCCATTGGAAATGAGAACCATCTTTTTTCCACGCCAGGCTGGAGGCTGTGGCGTTATTTACCTGTGCGGCGCAGGCTGGAGGCTGTGGCGTTATTTACCTGTGCAGCGCAGGCTGGAGGCTGTGGCGTTATTTACCTGTGCGGCGCAGGCTGGAGGCTGTGGCGTTATTTACCTGTGCGGCGCGGGCTGGAGGCTGTGGCGTTATTTACCTGTGCGGCGCGGGCTGGAGGCTGTGGCGTTATTTACCTGTGCGGCGCGGGCTGGAGGCTATGGCGTTATTTACCTGTGCGGCGCAGGAGGGAGGTCCTGGCTGTGAGACGTGCTCGAAGTAGTGACACCAGGCAAAGAGAGAGATAATAACGGCCACCCTTTAGGGGTTTGTTCTCTGTACCAGGCATTGCTCTAAGCCCTTACCCCTCTCACAGCCTGTGAGGCAGGCACTGTGACTGTCCCCTTCTCCGGCTGAGGCACAGCAGGGCTACAGAGAGATGCCCAGGTTCACATAGCTAGTAAGTGGCAGAGCTAGGATTTGAACCTCATGGAGTCCCTAGGTGGCACAAGTGGTTAAGCACTTGGTTACTAACCTTTACTGAAAGGTTGGCAGTTCAAACCCACTTAGAGGCACCTTGGAAGAAAGGCCTGGTGATCTTCCAAAGGTCACAGCCATGAAAACCCTACGGAGCACAGTTCCAGTCTGCACACAGGGGATCGCCATGAGTCGGAGCTGACTCAAGGGCAACAGGTTTGGGTTTTATGGTTTGGTTCCACTCCAGGGCCCAGCAAGGCCATCAGCCACAAATTATGCCAATGTTGCAACATCAGATTGCAAGAGAAGGGAACTTAGACATCCCCTAGGATAGTCAGCCCCCAAGACGAAGTGACCTGGCCAAGTTCATCTGCAAGTTTGTTTATCCACTCTTTCATTCATGCATCTGGGCCCTCCTGTGTGCCACGCTGTGTGCTAGGCTCTGGGGCTAGGGAGTGAGAGAGCCCCTGTCCCTGTCTTCCAGCAGACGACACGCTAGCTTGGGATTATACACATGCAGCGGTGATGTATGTGCCAACCCGGTTGCTGTCGATTTGATTTTGACTCATAGCGACCCTACAGAACAAAGTAGAACTGCCCCGTAGGGTTTCTAAGGCCTTAATCTTTACGGAAGCAGACTGCCACATCTTTCTCCTATGGTGAGTTCGAACTTCCAACCTTTCAGTTAGCAGCCAAACACTTAATCACGGTGCCACCAGGGCTCCTTGACGTACATGCTACATAACTTCAAACATCTGTGGGATGTGAGGAAGGGTATCAGGAAAAGAGTTACAGAGAACACAGCATTTAAAAGGGACAAGGGTGGGGTGGGGGGAGCTAATGTGGACTGAACACCTGCGTTTTCCTGGCAGAGAAGAAAGTGAAGGGCCTTCCAGGGGAGAGGAATGGCACAGGCAAAGGCCCTGTGGCAGGGCAGACATGGTGGGTCTGGATTCACTTGGGAGCCAGACTTACTTCCTGGTACTCTTTGTTCTCTTCCACATTCCTTCCAGGAAGGATGGATGAAAGTGTCTGTACAGCATCGCCTAGCCTTGTCCAGAGATGGCTTTCTGAACATCTTGGCTTCCATGTTGGGTCTTAGCCCCATTCGTTCACCGCGTATTTCCTGAGCATCTTCTTTGCTCTGCCCACCCTGTGCCCAGTGCTGGGGCTACAGAAAAACAGGAAATGTTGGCCCTGCTCTGTGGCATCCGCCTGCTTCCTTCTTTTCTCTGTAACGTTTTTGGCTGTATGTACAATGAGCCAAGGAAGACTGGGTGGTGGATGAGGAGCCCCCACCCTCCTTCCCCAGGCAGGGCCCCCTCCCCCCTGCCCCACTTACGAGTCCCCAGAGCCATGTCAAAGCTCAGTTGCGCTAGCTGCCCTGGTGGCCAGGACCCCCCTAATCAGATTAAATGTCTATTCAAACAAATTGATGATCCGTTCCATTAGATGCTTTTTGAACACGCTTTCCTGAGTGAGAAATCCATTCGGCAGCAGCTGTGGAGGCCGCGGGAGAATTGTTTGCCGCACCCTCCCAAGCCCACAGCTTCAGAAGGTGCCTGGATCCTGAAGGTCACTGGCGGGGATTCAATTAAGGTGGGCGAGTGCCTTCTCTGCTGGCTAATGAAGCACTTGGCATGCAGGCAGCACCGGCCCCGAGCTGGGCCAGGCATCTGCCAGGAGACTGGGAGTCAGGGGATGGGCATAAATTAGCATCTCATTTGTAGGGTGGCAGTGAGGAGAAGGGAGGCGGAGGGAGGGGGCTCAGGTGCTGCGGTGATGCCCTGGCTAAGCGGGGCGGGGCAGGGTAGGGCAGGGCCAGCTGGTGGTGTCTGAGCTGGGGTGGGAGCAGAGGGAAACAGCTGGGAAGCCCAGTGCCTGGCCCCTATGGCCTTTATTAGGCATCTAGTCAGTCCCTGGGTAGCGCAAACACTTTGTACTCAGCTGTCAACCAAAAGGTTGGCGATGTGAACACACACAGCGGTGCCGTGGAAGAAAGTCCTGGTGATCTGCTTCCATAGAGATTACAGTCAAGAAAACCCCTATGGGGGCAGTTCTACTCTGTAACATGCGGGGTCGCAATGAGTTGGAATCGACTCAATGGCACTGCGTTTGGTTTTTGGGTTTTAGAGGGGGCCTGCTAGCGCCTACTGGCTGTGTGTGCTTGAAGAACCGAGGGCATCTCTTCTGGATGGGTGAGGGCTCCAAAGGGGCGACACCAGCCTCTTCCTGGACCTTTGATACCCTATCCCTGAGCATCCAGCCCCAGGCAGCTCCCACACTTAGCATCTCCCTCACCTGGACTCAGGTAGAAGAGGGAGCTACAGGGAATTGATGACATCGTGGGACCAATCTATGCAGATGCATGCAAAGCCTCCGGAGGCTCGGCCTGTCTCTACCCTAGTCTGAGCGTTTGCTCAAGACTGTCCAGTCCATCCCTGGGCCAGACCCGTTCTTGATCCAGCTTGGAGTGGCCTCGAGGGAGCTGCATTTGGAAGCCTCCGATTTGGGACATCTGGGAGACTAGGAGCCCCTTAAAGGTTCTGAGATGGAAGAGATGGGTGGGGAGTCAGAATACCTCCTGTCCCCGTCTCCCCATCCCCTGCCCCATCTCCCTCTCTCGTGCCCGCATTTCGCCCTCTCCTGCCCCCATTTCCCTTTCACCTGCCCCCATGTCCCCCTCACCTGCCCATTTGATCCCCTTGGCACCTTTTTAAGTGCCAAGCTCTGTGCCCTGACTTCACATACATCAGCTCATCTGATCCTCCCAGTAGCCCTCTGGGGCAGGTATTCCTGTTTTGCTGATAAGCCAGGGAAGGCTCAGGTGGTTAATTTGCTCAAGGTCAAACTTCAGTTAGCCTAAGCAAACCAGCTGCTGTCAATTTGACTCCGACTCAGGGCAAGCCCATGTGTGTCAGAGTAGAACTGGGCTCCATAGGGTTTTCAATGGCTGATTTTTCAGAAGTAGATCTCCAGGCCTTTCTTCTGAGGCACCTCTGGGTGGACTCCAACCTCCAGCCTTTCAGTTAGCAGCCAAGTGTGTTAACCAGGGACACTACCCAGTGACTCCATTTAGTTAGCATAGGAGCTAGGATTTAAGCCCAGTGTTTCTTCTCCCACTGGGACCCTCAAGCCAGACCCCTGATAGAGTTTGGCACCTGGGGGCTTAAGTGATGACCAGAGTTTTGGGATGGGGTCCCCAGCCCTGTGCCTCCAGGCCCGAGAAGCCCTGGGGCTCTGGCCTCTGCCTCATTTCGCTTGGCCCCTCAGGCTCACAAGCCTTCCATCTCCTATATTATTTGACCTGCTTTATTTCTGGCTTCTCTCCCTGCACCCCACGAGCCCGTCTCTCTGAAACCCTGACCCCTGGGTAGACCGTAATCCCTCTTGAGATGTCCGCTCCACTCTCTTCCAGCTGATCCCAGAACTCAGTCCCTGCGAGGATGTCTGCCTCACTCCGCCCCCGAATCTGTTGGGACCTCGAGTGGGGTCCCCCGCCACGTAGCGGCATGACCACTGCTTATGTGTGGAACCACCCAGCCCCAGACCTCCCCATCCTCACCACCTACGAGGCTAGGGGTCAGGGTATAAAGGGTGATACAGCTTAGGGAAGCTGTGTGTCAACTGGAAAATGCAGAGCTCTGGAATCTACGAGATCTGGGTTTATGTTTGCATGGCAGAGTCAAATTCCCAAACCTTTCTGAGTGTCGGTTTTCTCACATGTGAAATGGGTATAATGATACGTTCCTTGAGAATACTCAGTGAGTATTAACTGAGATGATGGACATAAAATGCTTCATTTCTAGAAACTTCTATAAATGGCATGGAATAAAAGCAGCAGCGGTGGTGGCAGCAGGAGTGGAAAGGTGGGAGAAATGAGGTATGGGGAGAGGGGACCTGAAGGAGCCCCTGCTTACCCGGCCCCAGGGCCTGGCCTCTTCAGCAGTGACCCACAACTCAGGGCCGTGGTCTGTGCCCAGCCAGGCCTAGGGACCACAGCCTTCCAAGCTGAGGCAGCAGTTAGGAGGCTGCGGAGGTCAATGCAGGACAAAGGTGGTGGTGGCCGAGAGGAGACGGTAGGGTGAGAAGTTTGCGAGCTTAGGAATCCCAGCCTCCCCCTTTTCCCAGGCATTCCAGGGAAGCTTGCAGTGACTGAGCAGTTCCTGTGTGCTGGGGGGAGCTGCCAAGAGTGGCTTTTTGATGTTTAGAGCTGAGAAGGGAATGTGCCCAGGCCCAGTGCCCCTGAAGCTGGCTCTGGGGCCAGGTGGACGTCTTTGGGCCCGTTAAGTGGCAGGTGGAGGCCGTCGCCCTGGCCTCCTCCACCCCCCACCCCCAC